TAATAGTTTATCACCCTCTCGCTCATCACTTTTGGGGAAATTCCGACTTTTTTTTTGTTCAAACGATCGTTTTTTCATCTTTTATCACTTGGAAAGCCTAAGATTTCTTGCAAATAAAAACTATGCACTTGCAATGACAACAGATGTAAGCAAAGTAATGGTCAAGATTTCATTAATTTTTTAGGCCTAAGATGTATTTCACCTTACCAGATGTATTTATACATTCTCACTTTTCATGGTTAAAAAAAAAAACTCTACTGTATTTTTCAACAAATGTTTATTGGTACAATAAAAATATGTTTTTAAAAATTTGATTCCATTCTTATGACTATATATTTGTCCTTACCATTAAACATCGGTGGGAAGGGGGTGGGGTTGACAAAAAAGGTCTCCCTCCCTCAATAGTTTTTATTCTTGGATAGGGTGATAATAATATTTTTTTTATGGGTCCTAATAAGCTTAGGTCTATTCCTAAGTTTGTGATCTGATAGGCCTAAACACTACGTTCTCCAGAAACATTTAGAAAGTGCAAAAAAAAAAAAAAAAAAAAAAAAAAAAAAAAGATTCAAAATGATTCCCAGATGTTAGAAACTCTATCGTTCGTTTTCTTGGAAGAACATCAAATGTCACGAAACCTAAATTGAACTTAGTGGTAGTTTTGGAAAATCAATGTTAGTATTACAGTTTAATGCAAGAAATGCATTTAGTCATGTTGAAGGTCTGCATGTATTCGATAAACCACAACAATGTGCCGCGATAGTCTAGAGAACTACGATAATGTTGCGCTGTAATGTGATTCACAATGGTGCTCAATAAAACAGACATAAGAGAAATATCTAAATGAAAAGAATTTCACAGTAAGGATGTAGCACCTCTTAACGCCATACACAAGAAGGTATGTACTACGTGTACACAAAATTACTCCTTGTAATACTTGTAACTACAGACCAATGGATATGGAGTAATATTTTGCCTGTACTGAGTATCAGTTATCGTAATACCATCCGTTGACCAGAGTATATTGACTATAAGGCCTACTTATAACCATAACGTCGGAAGACCTATAGTATGATAGTTGGCTAAAACACCATTATGTATTTCCTTGACAACACGTGTTGATATTAAAGTAATAGTACAACCCAGCTTGTTTTATTCGGGCTATCGTACACTCATTCCTTCACAGACTTTGGTTCTGCATTCACACCCAGTAAGTGAATATGTCGAGTAAGTTGTCTCTTGTAAACAGTGCCTGGAACATAACGCTAACTGTAAATAAGCTCATGAAAAGTGAGTAAATATGCGAACAACAATGCGTTGAAACGGCATTGCACTTTTTAAAACTAGCATTTTCCCAAAGGCTTTCGGCTACGGATGAATAATCGAATATTGTTTTGAATGCCTTTTTGTGAGTATAATTAGGCAATGTCAATGACTTTAGATACTTTAGATACAAACCTATTCGGTCCTACACTCGACATCGTTAAAATGTGTATGTGTTGGATCTTCATCAGTGTGAATATTGTATATTTTTATGGTGTACTTCCGAAACAATAAAGCGGCTTACGTTTTATGCGAAAGCTCATGGGACGATATTAACTACTCACTGACTTTGATTTTTGCTAGCTTAAAAATTATCTTAATAAACGTCTTCGCATCAAATACGTTACTTCACGCTAAATGTAACATCCATTGATATGTGAACGCACGATTTAAGACTCATCTCATAGTAGTGTACACAAACACAATGAGCCACGTTTAAGAAAATGTTATGAAAATTTACGGTCGTTACTGACATGAATAACGTGTTTGACGAGGTGATAATATACAGCTAGTTGATATATCTCCGACAGGAAAATTTCGTATATACTATTCTCATGTACATAAAATAATAAAAATAATATCTCAGCTGGTTGAATTCCAGCCTTATGATTGTTGAAATATAATGCTAAAATTTATATTAATTCACAAACGTATAAACGACTGGTTTTTCTTTAAACTACTTCTTTTTTTTATTTCAAAATTTTATGATGATGTCGTATTAAATCTTATTTAATACCAATATGATTTGTCCTAATAACAGGATAGAATTATCTCATATGCTAAAACCTTACCTTCAAATAGGCCTACTATTGATAATTAAACACATTTTAAACATATAAAATTAAAAATGATTTTATTTGTGAGCAATCGGAAATTCCATGCCTAACTTATGCAATATTTATTTCACAATATATTATATATATATACATACATATGCAAAAGCAATGAAAAAACGGTGTACAATCATTGAAAGTTGACTTGCGGAACACAAATTTATAACAAAATCAAACGGATATTTCGATAGCTCCTGCTATCTTCATCAACGTTATACATATATACATACATACACTTATCTTAAACCTTTGCCAAGTTGGGATTTATACCTTTTTGCCTTTTCAGTTAGAACCTCTATATGGGCATACTCTTTAAATTTTAGTATGAATATCTAAACAAATCAAGCTAATATAACGGGTGAATTGTTAGTTTCCCTTGTCATGTATCAGTTTATTTAAGTCTATATGTTCTATATAATTAACCTACAAAAATAATATGCGTGCTAGAATTATGTCAGTGGGTTTGGCTGTTGACTAAAACAGGTAGAACTAAACTGTTCACCGGAACAAACACGATTGCTACTGCTTTAAAGGAGAGAACACCGACGTAGTATAGTTCAGTACTCTTTCAAGCATTGTGTTTGATGAGCAAATTTGCGCATGCTTGACACCTGTGTACTGCAGAAAGAAGTACCGTTAACCTAAGTTTTTCATAATTCAATGTCTAAACGACAATGTAATTGGGTTTAATGAGTCATTCATTGAAATTCTATTTAAAGAGTTTCTGTCTATTCATAATTGTCTACCGTTTAAGCCAATGAATGTTTCAACCCATGTGTACTGTAGTTATTTTGTTAGCATTTTGTTAGATCGTATAGTCTGTGTATAGTCTAATTTGTTATAGTTTGCAAAACCCTTAAGTTCAAACTCCCAAATTGTGAAAATAATTTGATTGGGTTTATTTAGTATTATTTGGAGTTGATGTAATGTGATGATAACCTATTCAATCCCATTGCACTACTATACGTTCGCAGCACTAATAAATGACTGCCCTTTCAAATTTATAAATTGGAAAGTACCGTTTTCTTAAAGTGAAATTGGTTAAACCCTAAATTGTATATCTCCTTCAGTAATTCTCATCTGTTTTTATAACAAATTACCATCAATTTGTCTCAAAACTTTAGTAGTAAGCCATCGTTGCAAAAAACAAAATTTATTGGAAACAATAAATAAAAGTGTTTGAGCACACCGAAGGTCTTTATTAATCGAAGTAAAACCTTAAACTTTATATCTTACCATTAGAAAAAATGGTATGACTTCGTTTGTTGTTTAAGTTCACATCGCACAATGTGCAGAATCTCGAAGTCGTGTAGAAACAATACTTGAGCCATAGAACATTGTTACGATAAAAAAAAGAGTGGCAGAAAGAACAGGAAACAGAACGTCCTTCGATTCTCCATCTACAGCTGTCCTATGCATCGATGCGTTACAAGAATACTTTGGTACTAAACATTAGATAGGATTTAAATTTATAAACATCCTTAAATGTACAGCTAACAAAGAATATAGGTTTATTACAATTCATATTATATTAGAACATTCCTCATTCAACACAAGTTGCCATGCCAAGACAGCATGAATATAGTTTGTAACAGGTTGGAAAGATAAATAGGGTGAAATTGTGTTCTAGAGGGCGCTCTTTCAGTTACTTTACTTAATGTTGGATTACAATAGGAATTGGCAATCCGCATTAAACAAATCAAACGAAATCAAACATCATCTTATTTTTAGTAGACGACATTTACATAATCTAACGCATTTTAAAATTCATATAGCTTGTTTTAGATATAATTTCAAGTGCGATATTTAAAAATTCGTTGATAATCCTAGTCGAGTGATATCGTATCTGGGCCTACACAGTTCAAAAGTACGGTACCTAAATTACGTGAAGCGGTACTCATCTTCTTTCTAATGCTATGCTGCCAGGTTCAATCCCTATACTGTACTGTATCGTACCTTATTTTTTTCTCCAAGTTAAAGCACCCCAACCCAGAACCTGTAACAGCGCAGTTTAGTAAAGCCAACATTACGTATTCAACATCCAACTTTTAATTGGAGAATTATTTGAGAAAGAAATAAGAACAAACAAATCGGCATGCTTTTATAGCTCATATATTCCAACGTCAACGGTGCAATGTGAAGAATTACAAACCACAAATCATAAGAAACGATCCACAACCCTCTCCTATCCACACACTCAATCATTAGTCTCCCTCCCCCTTCTCGATATAGCGGATACATTAACCATCCACGCATCAATTTATTTGAAATATATGTCATAATTAAGTCAAATAAACGTGGTAATTACACTCTTGCTGACAAGCTGTGTAATGACCGTGATCTATGAGTCGTTCTCTCGACAAATGTTTAGCAGTATGTCAACACATGATTTATGCTGTCGTGAGATATTTTTTATTTCTAATCTAGGGCCTTACCTAAACTGTGTCTCTTTGCTCACCTACAACATCCTAGACATAAATTCTAAAGAATAACTTCACATTTATGTAACAACTCTTAAGGTACAAAAACCTACCCATCCAATATTATAAAATGTACCCATTATTTTAGAAAGCTCTAAATCACATAGACCAAAATTTGTATTGTTTGTATCCCACTAAATTCGCATTCATTTTTGACAATTCATAGACCTGATCATACTTGGTCTATAATACGTAGCCCTACTCATTATGGTTGTCCCAATGACAATCTTTCAATACGTTTAGATGGATTTTTACATTCATGTGATTTACTGTATGTCAAATAGGCCTGTAATTGCGCATATAAAATATTAATATATATTGTTATATTTTCAGCTTAATAATTATTCTTGTGTTTTTTTTTTATCAGCTGCAGTAAGGAAACCAAGTGAGAACGGTAAAGATGGCATGATTTCAAATGTAACGTCTCCGAACGATGTGTTTTGCTCAGTGCCCGGTCGTCTATCCCTCCTTAGTTCTACGTCTAAATACAAGGTCACCGTTGCTGAAGTACAACGAAGACTTAGTCCACCAGAATGTTTGAATGCATCGTTGTTAGGCGGAGTACTCAGAAGGTATGTACCAACAGATAGTTTGTCCGGGTAAATGTTGTAGAAAAGATCTAATGAACTGCGATATTATAATTACGCAGAAAGTAACGATTACTAAAATGACTTCTTGTAAACTACTATGGTAGTCTCTGCCAAATTTACAGTTACAGCATTTAATAAATCAAAGTTGAGACCTAGTAACTCATTCAAAATGTTGAATTTAATAATATAACTACATAATTCTGAGAAATAAACTTACACTGAATATTAATAGGTCTAATAATACGGTAAAGTACCATCATTAGCATCGGTTTAGGTGATTGTTGGATGTGACTACACTCATAGTTGCGTTTTGTATTTGCATTGCATTCCGAGGTAAACGTTACACATAGTTTTCTCTTCGACTCGACTTATGTGGACTGTAAAATGTTTCATTACTTTGTTCGATGTACAGGAAACAAATTTAGTTAAGTTAGTATGTTGTGCATTATCCATTTTCATCTCTTATTAAAACATTTCCCGGGACCCCATACCGCTTCGTCTACACTTTAACCAGGATTTAGAATAATTATTGGCATCCGCATTTATCCCCGATTAGACAATTAAATAGAAACATTATTTGTGGACAGGTCAAACATTTTGGGTTGTTAACCGCCTTAGGTTTCGGATGCGTTTCATTCGACTCTTAAGACACGCTTAATACCTCTTTTATATCTGTTCGGAATTACTCCACACAAAGTATAAACCAAGCGCCTAGAGAATTCCAATGATATAAGATTAGCCCAGATTACTTGATGTCATTTTGAGAAGTACTACGCCCAGACATTACCCCCTTCTGTAAGTCTGGGTTGATTTTCAATTTCGAATTTAAGTTTCAATATTGATACACCTCGAGGACAAGATATCTCAGAAGCACAGTGTCCCTGTAGGAATTTGAAAGCGTTAAATGGTGCAAAGCGCTTCCTATGCCAGCGGGTTGTGAAGGCTTCTTGTTCCGAGAGGCTAATCTTCTCTGTCCCATTAAATAAGCCTTGGCTCTCGTGGTTTGAAATGGTTGACATCGCTGGCATTAGACCTATCGAAATAAAATCGTCTGCAACTTTAGTGAAATATGCAGTGTCATAATTGTAATGTTTTGAATTTATAGTTTTGATAATGCCTTCCTATTATGAAAGCTAACAATATTACTCTAATTAAATAGTCTGTCTTCATTATTATTAAAAATATTTATGCAATACATTAATTTTATTTTTCGGCAATATATATTTTTATTATTAGGCCTATTTAATAATAATAATAATAATAATAATAATAATAATAATAATAATTTTTTATTATTAGGCCTATATAATAATAATAATAATGATTATTATTGATTATTATTATTATAATTATTATTATGTTAGTTTAATCTTCAGTCTTAATTGTCTAAAGACATAATACGTTTTTTATTTGGTAGCCCGGTACCAGTATTGATTATAGTAAATCGAGACGACAACAACGAAATAAGATAGATCGTGATCCTAAACTTTCGTTTAACACCTATTAGTATTAGGTCACATGATCTCATTGTGCCCAAGGAGATTCTGCTTATAGATTAATGAGAGTGAATGCAATCGCGCTATTTCCGATTATCTTTAAAATAAATTTCTCGCATATTGATCAAAGTCATTTTTTAATGTTCATCTACACCATCAATCTTTTTATTAGTTTCGACTGAGTAGAGCGTCACGCTGCAGTTGACGCTGTCTTTGATTGACTTGACTCGCTTCCATAACTTGGACCTACGATGCGTCCGTCCCAGCGTTGGCAATTATGAAATCCCATCGCCTAATCAGCATTTATATCCTTCACGAGTGTGTTAAAGAATAACCCATGAAATATGTCATTTCTAAGATGTTAGTGATTTATTAGCATACGGTATCATAGGGCCTATTAGAAAGATAGAGGGAGGCTGACTTGCGCAGGCATTGCGTCTTTCTTTCCTAATCTGGTGGTATTTCCATTTTACGGACTAAGAATATGATTGCGAACTCTTAATTTAAGTATGTTATTTACGCGCAATGCGTATGGTCACTAGTAAACCACCAGATCGATCGATCTTCCACTTTACAGGTGCAACCAAACTCGCAGGGGTTTCACACATCCTCGGTGAATTTTGTCTCTTTTACATGCGCCTATATTTTTCATTACGATTCTATTCAAATTCAAGGATAATAAACTCAGTCCAAACGAATCATTACCGATATGTTATGTTTTGGAGATGTTCAGTTTTCCATGTTGCAAATTATTATTAATAATATTAATAATTACAATAACAATATTAATAATGATAATATTTATATCAATAATATAAACGATTGATAGGCCTAATAAGAATACTTATACGGAGAATATCCTGCTTTGCATCAAGGTGTACTGTAGGATGCCTATCGGACTACTCATATTTATAATTAATCAATAAAGATGTAGTTTGGGGCAGTCTTTTCAATCAGGGGATCATGGGTTCGAATCCTTGGTAAGGCAGAATTGTTTTCTCATGATGTCTATATTATAGCTTAGCTTTCATCGCACGAATGTGGTAAAACATTACAAACGACGTAGTCTTCCTTTTAATTCTAGTGTCATTGTCATCACTATTGTAATTATCTCCAGCATACTGTTAAAACGGTATAATCCAGGCTGCGCGTACAGAATAGTTGTATTGGGTTGGTTGTTATGGAGATAAAGCCGGCTGAGATGGGTATCATCGCATTATGTTAAGGTCAAGCAATACGTAGAAGATGTGGCGACGACGAGTTGGCGATGTCGCAACCGTCGCATTACCGCCAGAAGGAATTTTACCAAAAAATAAAAGAAAAAAATCTACGCATTAAAATCTCGTCCATCTTGGGGATTAACTGGCAATTGTACCTCTCATGTCCGAACAATGATAAAAATCAACTTAGACCAAAAAGATAAATCTGCAAGGGGATATAAACTCATCTGACCTAAAAATATGCAAAGGTTAGCCTGCATAAAGCTCAAAAGGAAAGATGGATACATTTATACCAACGACTCAAATACAGTGTTAATTAAAAAGAAATATCAGTTGTCCGATTTTAAAACCCACTAGTGCGAATAGAACATCTTTTCGAAATGGAGGCGATTAAAATGCAGTAGACTTTGACACTTTTTGTGGAGTTTCTGTCCTCCCTTTATAATGCTTTATGCAGATGTTGAGTCTAAATCGTGGGGTTGAGCAATACGGGGCTATTGACCGGGTAGTTGGAATATGCCACCATAAATGATTCATCTTCGTGGTAGATTTAATCTAAGTATTTACGATAATGATAGATATTTATCTACATACGACTCATCCTTCTAATAAAATTAATGTCCTGGAATATGAGCACGAGTGTGCAACAACAAACATTATAGACTTAGCTGGCTAAAATGAGATTGATAACACTGGCTCCTCCTCCGGTTGAAATCACCAATTCTGTCCTGTTAATTAGAAATAAAGATGAGCAAGCGATACTAAAGATAATCCTTAAAGACAACCCTTTCAGATAACCCTTATTAGGCCTATATCCATTTTTTTTGGTAAAAAGTCAAATGCTTGTAAGTTTGGCTGGTTAGAAGCGTTCTTGCATTCATGTTCATGTGTGACACTTTTTACTGTAACGCGTCAACACATTATTTTGTCCGTTCTTATTTATTTCCACTCCATAAAGGTTTCGAGGGCCGGCAGGCAGAAGGTGTATCATTTGATGATGATGATGATTATTATTATTATTATTATTATTATTATTATTATTATTATTATTATTATTATTATTATTATTAGGCCTATTACTATTATTATTATTATTATTATTATTATTATTATTATTATTATTATTATTATTATATTATTATTATTAGATATACGAACGGATTATGGGCATTTTTTTCACTTGTATTAATATTTCTATCACTTCATTATTGTAGCATCCCTTCTCATTTCAAATTATTTAAAATAAGTAGTTTTCATATATATTTTATACCGTAGTTTATGTCTTTAAATAATATAGATAAATATATTTAAAGAAATATAATGGGGAGAGGTCCTTCACCCGGGTTAATTCCCAGCATACCTGAGCAATTCTAAAGAACCCAGATAGCAATTTCACACCTTGTCAGAGTCGAATTTGTCTCGCATCAAAACTTGCTTCACGCAGTGTTGCGTTATCGGATACGAGCTGATCCACACAGCGTCCAACCCCGGTAAACACTCGAAGTTCAAAAGCAATGCGGAGTTGACATGGATGTCGAAATAGGTTCACTGAACGCGTTTACCATCCCTCATATAACTAAATTGTCCTAACCTACTTCTTGCTCTAAATATTTTCTTGTTTATTTTTCTCCTTTTCGATTCATTTCATCCGCACGTCTCCGTTTTTACTTTCCTGTCCTCAAGGGGACATCAATTCACCAGTGCGTTATTTTCCTAAATGGAAATTTACGTTAAAGGGAATACCTACCTCGATTTTCGTTTGTCAAAGGGTTCGTCTTGATGAATACAATAATTAGGCTTATTAAAACGACTTTTGGCTTTAATAAAATGGTGTAATAATAGATATGTTCCAAAGTTGAGACTACCCAAGTTATATATGATGACATGAATCATAATGCACTATAGCTGTTACCCCAGATACAAAATTATTATTATGGTTTTCTAGACCGGTAGACAAATCCATCGAAAAGCGCGTTCGTCTTGTCAAGTTTTTGGCCTGGTAACAGCTGGCTGACGTCTTAAGGACCTATTAATATGGATCAGTTGGTCCAAGAACCCTTAGAAGTAATATAATATACAGATGCATTAGTGACGAAAGGTGACACCATATTTGTTGCCTAAATTTGCTACGTTACGATTGGTGCACCAGAAGGCATTTTTCTCTGGCCTGGCTTATATTTCGCCCTATACTTACGCCTCTACGATGCCACCTTAGAAAGAAAAATACTGCTCTAGGTGCACTATTATGTGAGCCTAGAGACTCACC